TTTGGTCATGTGCTTATTCAGCGTCAGATCCTTTCCGTGCCCCAAGCTCCTGAGGCTGCAACTGGCAGCTTCCGGCGCACAGTGAGCCCTGTAATAAATATGTGCTGAGAGAATGAGAGGGTGAGCAGGCAGAGGGGGGCAGGGAGGGAGTTTCCCAGTGGTGAAGATCACAACGCTAATGAAGCACTCAGATCTAGCCCTGGAGATCTAACAAGTTGTTTATTTCTAGTCCCAGGTTGTTACATTCAAGAGGTGAAGCCAAGGGCTATAGGACTCCTCGGAGGAACAGGGTTCTGTAAACCCAGTTAATCAATACTGCTGTGCAGCTGGGTTTTCCAGTTCAGAGGTGCTCCGCGGGGAAGGGAGAGCTTCTCTTCCAGGTCTTCTGAGGCTTCCCCTCCACACTGGAGCTTTTCTGCAGACACCAAACACCAGAACCTCTGAATTCCGCAAATCTGCTGGAAAGGGAGAGACCAGCTCCCGTGGCCAGTTCCACAGGGTGCCCCGTGGATATCCAAACTTGAGGAATATAATCTCACTCTGGAACTAAATCAGAAACCTTGGCTAACCCCACTTTTCCCTGCAACAACCAGCGCTGATCCCCGCATCAAGAGCCCAGCCCCAGCCCAGTGTCGTCACTGCTTCCTTCTCTTTCACACCACTGCTCACCCCCTGGGCCTCCTCAAACCATTGGTCCCTTCCACCCCACTGCCCCAGGTCTGGCCTCTGCATTTGAGGAGTGCCCTAGTGCATCATTCTCCCCACTGGCCTCCCTGCCTCCAGCCTTGCTCCTGCAAACCTGCCTCCATGTTGCCCCAGAGACATCTTCCCAAAATATGATTCTGATCCTGTCATTTCAGTGGTTCCCTGTTACCCTGGAAACAGAGTCCAAGCTTTAGTCTAGTGCTTCCTTATCTGTGCTCTTCCCACCTGCCCATCACCCCAGGCCTTGCTCTCCCTTTCTTGCATCTTCTGGGCCAGCCATGCCAAACCATACGATTTTTCCAGAACAGCCTCAGCCTTTGCCCATGGCAGAGGCAACTTCTGCTGAGAACCTTCTGCTTCCCCGATGCTAGCTTCTTCCCTGAAATCACTTCCTGTGTCACCTCCCACAGGAGGCCTTCCTTGATTCCCCACCCCCAGGCTGGTTAGATCCTGCAGCCCCCTGTGCTGACGTCCTCTCTCATGGTGCTACCCCTTGTGTTGCAAGTGCCCACATCCATTAGTCCACCTCTTCTTTGCCCTGTAGGCTGTGCTCAGCTCATAGCCCTATACTCTCCAACAGCAGAATTTACCAAAACTGGGGACAGGGAGACAAACCCTTCTTCACCTAAAATGGCCTCCACTCACCCTAGTTCTGGGGTTATGGAATGTGTGGTGGAAGTTAGCCTTGCTCTACAGAATCTCTCAGCGTGGTTACACTCCTGGCATCACTAGGCATTAGACCCTTGGCTCTGATGGTCATACAGAGCAGCCTGCCCGGGGTCTAAGTACGACACTCTTTTCAATGCTGGCTGCACACAGCAACCACCTTGGGGCTTGGACTCTACCCCAGATTCTGATATAATTGGTCTGGAGCAGGGCCAGAGCAACAGGATTGTTTAAAACACTGCCCAGGGTGATTCTAAGACTGTGCAGCCAGCTTGAGACCCTCTCATACTTAGTCATTCTGGAGTAGTGCTTCTTATCCCTGGCTGTACATTAAAAGCACTGGGAAAGTTTATAAAATATATGTGTCCTGGACCCACCATCCCTGACTCAATGAATCAGAATACCCTAGGGTGGTGGCCATCTAGCTGTCAGCATTGAATCTTTTAGGATCCTCTTCCCTCTTTCCCTCCATCCTTTTCTTTTTCCAGAAACATTTTCCAGGTGAGCTGTGCTCACCCTGTCAAGCTCTGGGAGTGCTAGGATGAGTCATACCCTGCTCCTCCTAGGTGAGGGCAGTTAGGAATGGAAGAGCCCCCCCCACCCGTTGAAAAGAGCCTGCCCTCTGGCAGGCCTGCTGGACCCTCCTCGAGCTCCCAGGGCCTGCACTGATGGGGAAGTGTCCACCCCTCCTGGGGACGCCCAGGCTGGGAGGTCTGGTCCTGCTCCTGAGTCAGCCAGGAGGCCTGGGTCTCTGCTCTGTTGGGAGCAGGGGGGTGGATTGTACATGGTCATTAGGATGGGAGGCTTCCGGGTCTTCTCCCAGTCCCTGCATTAGGGTGGCCCTGCAGCTCTCTACTCTCTTCTCTCCTTTGCATATGTAAAGTCAAACCACCCCTTCGTCCGTGAATGTGCCTGTGAGCTTGTCTGCATCCCAGTTGTGGGACTTTAAACCCCTGCTGACAAAGAATGAGCCTGGGCTGTGGGCAGTTTTTAACAATTGAGGTAAAATTCACATAATAGAAAATTACCTACTTTAAAGTGAAAAATTCAGTAACATTTAGTATATTCACAATATGCAACTATCACCTCTCTCTCTAGTTCCGAAACATTTGCATCACCCTAAAAGGAAACTGTTCCCATTAGCAATCACTCCCATTCCCCCCACCCCTGCCCCCGGGAAGCACCAATCTGCATTCTGTTGCATTCACCATCTGTATGACTGGATAGTTCATATAAGTGACATCATATGATATGTGGTATATGTCTGGCTTCTTTCATGTAGCATAATGTTTTCGAGGTCCATCTGCATTTGTAGTAGCTACTAAAACTTCATTCCTTTTTGTGGCCGAATGATATTTTATCATATACATAGACCACAGTTGGTGTATCTATTCATTAGATGATGGACTTTTGGGCTGTTTCTACCTTTTGGCTCTTGGCAAATCTGAGCATTGAAAATTCTCTACTTCTACACTCCAAACATCTATGGACTGGGTGTTCCTAGGTCCTCAGCATTAGATAGTGGTCTCGGCCTTTCCCTGTACTAACCAAATACTACCTTCAGGAGTCCCATGGCAGCACGTGTATCTTTAGGGCATCTCTTGCTCCAGGTTCTGGCCTCCACTAACATCTCTATCTCTCCCTATATCTATCCAGGAGATTCCAGGCTGATCTCTGCACTCTCTCACTCTCACCCCATGCCTTCCCCACTCCAGTCCAGGGCAGGAGGCTGATGAGTGTGCGACAGACTGCTGCTGAGGGTTTAGGGAGCAAACGAAGGGGGTAGACAGCACACAGCTTAGACAGTATCTTAGAACTGAATTTTACATGTCACCATCTACAAGACAAGAATAGTTTTTCAGTATTCTCTTGTAATACTTCTGACATCAGTGTGTAAGGGTTGTCCCACACCACGCAGTTCTCCAGGTCTTGGTGGATGCTGACTGGATGCTTACAATTGAACCCAACTCTGACGCTAAATGCCTGGAGCTAGCACACACCACACACAGGTTAAGGACTCAGTTCCACTAGGCTGCCCCTATTTCAGATGTGAGTCACCAGTCCTAGGTTTCCATTTGTACTTCAGACTGCCTGGCTATAAACTGAGGTTCCTACAACCTCTTCAGGTTCAATCGTTCACTAAAATGGCTCACAGAACTCAGCAAAGTGCCTTACTTATTGATTTTTTGCAGAGACTATTAAAGAATCCAAATGAACAGCCAGATGGTGAAAAACAGGGCAAGGTGTGGAAGGGTCCTGAGCACGGAGGCTTCAGTCCCTGGGCTCTCTGGGCTGCACCACCCTCCTGATGCTCCTGTTCACCAAGCTGGAAGCTCTCTGAACCTTTTACGGTTAGGGCTTTTATGGCCATTGGTGATTATGAAACTCAATCTCCCTTCCCAGGAGGTCAGGGAGTGTGGCTGAAAGTAACTTTCTAATCACCTGGTTGGTTCCCTGGCAGCCAGCCCCCTTCCCTAGGGGCTTTCCAAAGCCACCTCACTAACATAAACTCAGGTGTGGTTGAAAGGGGCTTGTTCTGAATAACAGGAGACACTCCACTCACCTTTCTGGTTCTGAGCTATTCAGGAACTGGGGACAAAACCCCAATATAACAGAAGGTATTCCGATCCTGCTCTTATCACTTAGGAAATTACAAGGATTTTAGGAGCTCTGTGTCAGGAACCAGGAATAAGACCAAACACATCTATTTCTTACTAAATAGGACAGGATAGCACAGTGTCCTAAAACATACACATGCACAGGGCATTTCTCATGGACAGTGTCTGCCCATAGGCTTCAGACAGATGCCTCCCATATCCATCTTCCTCTTTTCTTGTTCACATTTCTGTCCTCTAGGGTGTAAAGCTGTCAACAAACAACTCCACTTGTTTGGAGCAACATAGACTCACTCCCATCTCCTCCTGTCCTTAGAAACCATGCCTGGGTGTGGGAAGGAGATGGGATGGGGTGCCCTAAGGTTGATTTCATTTTCCTTTTTAGTCAAAAGAAATTGTATGTTCATGAGAAGAATTCTGCCATATTTCTAGGACAACAGACCTCATGAAAACAGTTCTGCTCATAATACTAGATGCCCAGTGTCACAGGGATGACCCCACTACTTCATATATAGGCAGTGGATGGGGTCAGGGCAAGCCTGGAGGTGCCTCTGAAATTAGCCCTTTTCTCCTGTCTGATAAGTCCTAATGGTACCCCCAATTTGTTTGGTGCTGTATGATTTTTTAAAGCTTGCTTGTAGATAATGGTTAGGAGCTGGGCTTTCACTATGAACAATTTGGAAACCATTAGATGCTTTTGAGCAGAGAAGGGATGTGACTTGACTTAGATTTTGCAAGGACCTCTGTTGTTGCTGTGAGTGAATAGACCGTAGGGGTCAAGGAGGCTGCTAGTCGGAAGGCTGTTTTGAGATGGCTTGTGCCACGGTGGAGATAACTGAGCTGGTAAGAAGTGATCAGATTGTGGGTGTATTTGGGGGCAGAAATGATGGGTTCTGCTGGCAGATTGCTCTTTCTAACATGCCAGGCTGCCCACCAACTCCAGGTTTCAAAGACTGCACATCTGGATCAGGCAGGCAGGCTGAGGCGGGCTGCTTCTGTTTTGTTTTCCTCCAGGTCACCATCCTCGTCAGCCTGGCCCTAGCCTTCCTTGCCTGCATCGTGTTCCTGGTGGTTTACAAAGCCTTCACCTATGACCACAGCTGCCCAGAGGGATTTGTGTATAAGGTAAGGGGCTTATGGCAGGTGAGTGGCCCCAGGTGACATCAGCAGTCAGGGAGAGCTCACTCCTGCTTAGAAAAACTGTTCCATCTTGGGAAAGCCCTACCTTGGCACAGGGCTTCGTGTTTTGGTGGCTGATTTCTCACCTCCAAGGTGGCCCTGCACAGATGTGAACACAGGGAAGGGGTGCTTTTGAGGTGGTCTCCCCCAGTGCCGCAGCTGGGCCCTTTCCTCTGACCTTCACTCCACTGAGCTTCTTCCCTTGAAGAACTGAACCAGCTGCATGACCTTGGGCATCTCCTGGCCCTCTGAGCCTCAGTCATCTTGCCTGCAAAATGGGCACTGAGAATGCCTTCCATAGGATTTTCTTTAGGGTAGGACTGAATTTAGGTAAAATTGGTTAGCAAAGAGCCTGCTAGATAATGGGCTCTCAACACATGTTAGTTGCAATGACAGAATCTGTTTTAGAGTAAAACAGGTAATATTGAAGATTTCTAAATTGCCATTTACTGACTATTATGTCACACCTGTTCTTAGACATTTCCATAAACATTACCTCCATTGAGCTGTACACCTATTCTGAAAAAAGTTTCTATTGCTGTCATTTTACATAAGGAAACAGAGCAAAGGGGTGGTAAAACATTTAGTCAAGAGAGTTTTCCAAGACATCACAGGACATTCCAAAGCAGGGAATCAAATGGGGAGTCAAATGGGGAAGTGCATGTCCTTTGGTTCTGCGCCGTGACTTCCTGGGGCTACATTCTAAGTAGTTAGAAGCTGAAGTTCTGTGAGATGGGCAGCAGCTTTCCCTAGGGAACAGTGAGGGACCTGTGATGTGCCCACACAGTGGAATGCTGTGCAACTGTGAGAACGCGTGGGGAAGAAAGGCCTCCAGACATGAGCGTAGGACATTCTCCAGGACAGTCATGAAGGAGAAAAAGAGGCTGCCTTTGTGTGATGAAAAGGGAAAGGGAAGGATATTTGCTTATATTTTCAGGAAGAAATCGTGGAAGGGTAAATCAAGGAAACCAAGATAAATGGTTATTCAGGGGAAGGGAGGACAGAGTGGGGGAGACGGGAATGAGCAGCAAGGTGTCTCTGGATATGTTTTGCTGTACATTTGGCCTTGATGTTTGTAAATGTTGGACATGTTTAAAAAATAAATAAATAAGAAAAAATAATTCCTCAAAATTAAGAACATGCTAAACAAAGAGTCCAGCTTTATATCAACTTGGGGACATAAACTTAAAAAGATAAATATTTCGAAGGACTATAGAACACAGACAGTATTTGACTGTGCACCCTCAGTGAAGTGTATCCTAAGGTCATGGAGAACTGCAGAGAAATCTTAAAGTTCATTCAGTAGTCTATTAGTCATAATATTGGTGTAATTTTGTGATCATTTGATACATATTCTAGGATAATGCAAATATACAATTGTGTCGATGTTGTTAGGAGCCAAGACTTTTGATATAAGAAAAAAAGGACAAGTATAAAATCAAGAAAATAAGATCCACAGCAATTGACTTCAGGCACTGGCCCAGGGGAGCAATTGGGGGATGGGTGAATCAACCAGATAAAAGAACCTGGTGACCTACCAATAGTGTCCACTGTTGCCACACAGTCAGTAAGCAGAGGTCATTAACCTTGAATGAGTGTTAGCATCAGATTTCTTTTTCTTTTCTTTTTACATGTGGTATAATTGACATAAACATTATGTTCGCTTCAGGTGTACAGTGTAATGCTTCGTTATTTGTATATATTGGGAAATAATCACCACAATAAATCTATTTAACATTCATAGTCATACAGTTAACCACACATAGTAACACAATTGTTTTTCTTATGATGAAAAATTGTTTTCAGCTATCAAAGATCTACTCTCTTAGCAACTTCCAGTCATGCAATACAGTATTGTTAACTATAGCACCATGCTATACATTACATCCCCAAGGTTTATTCATTTTATAACTGGAAGTTTGTACCTTTTGACCCCCTTCAGCTATTGCCCCCACCCCGCCCCACCCCCTGCCTCTGGCAACCACCAATCTAGCAGGAGGTTTATATCTACCACCTTTAAGTAGGCAGCAGCTTTGATGATGGTGAGATGTTGGGGGCAGCCAGACCCAGGCCAGGTGCCCTCATCTGCCCTCTGGCTGAGAGCCTGATGTGGTTGTGGCCCCCAGATGGGGTGACTGAGTCACAGGTCGGATTGGAAGCAGTCCTCTGAGCTACCCCTGACTCTGTCTCTCTTCCCCAGCACAAGCGCTGTATCCCTGCCTCCCTGGATGCTTACTACTCATCCCAGGACCCCAACTCCAGAAGCCGCTTCTACACGGTCATCAGCCACTACAGCGTGGCCAAGCAGAGCACTGCGCGGGCCATCGGGCCGTGGCTGTCGGCGGCTGCTGTCATCCATGAGCCCAAGCCGCCCAAGACCCAGGGCCGTTAGAGGCCCACCCCCAGCCAGAATGGAGGGCTGAGAGGAGGACCCCCATTGGCTAAGCCAAGCTCCAATTACAAGACAACACTGTATTCCTGGGATAAGCGGGTGGGGGCGGGGCTGGGGGGGAGCTCATCAAAAATATTGTGCACTGGAGTTGTCTGAACTGGTATTTCTTTTTGTCCTTTGGTATTGTTGATTTGTCCCCAAGTCAGGCTCATGTACAAAGGCATGTTTCATGTTGATTGTTCCCATGTAAGATATTTTTAAAGCCACTGCTTATTATTTGTTAGGAAAATTTAAAAACAGTAAGGAAAGAAACAAAGAGAACTAAAGAAAAAGGATTAAACTAGCTGCACTGGGAAGATGTTGAAGGGCAATAAAGAGCACAGACTGGCTGGGCTCCTTAGGTGAGAACCTGTGACTTCGGGGCGGGTTTCAGAAGGCGTAGGCAATGTGCGTGATGCCGGCTGGGGCCCCTTGGTTGGCCTCTGGCCTGCAGGAGAGGCATGAGGGGGGTGAGCACTGGCCTAGTTGGAGAGAAGGACTGATTTCGGCATTAGTAAATTCAGGTTGTACACAACCCACAGTAAAAAGTACCCCCACCAGTGTGTTTTGTAAGGTTAGCACAGACTTGTCTGTATGGGCATCTGAGCAAGAGCTTGGGCTGCCCCACGTGGCCGGGGATGCGTTTGGTATGAGCAGTCCCTGAGAATCAGGCGGACTCTTTGTCTTTTTCCTGTATTTCTAGATACTGGCTGTGTTTATGAGATAACAAGGGTAGAAAGAGGAAAGGAGGTGCAGCTGGAAGGAAGGCACAGGACTTGCAAATAACATTGGCCAGGCTATAAGCACAGGCATCCAATTTTTAAGTTTGTGATTGTTTCCCAAAGTGCTAATAACCCCAGGAAGAACAAGAAGGCTTCTAATTAGGAGCCTCAGGTGGCAGCCAGGAAGACTGGAAGATTGGGGCTGCAGCAGTGCCAAATCATTTCTAAAGGAAGATGAAAAATGTGCCTGTCTTTTGCCCACTCTGTTGTGTTAACAGGGGACAACTGTCCCAACTCCCCAGTCTGGTTCTACAAGCTCCTGACAAGGGGGCAGCATCTGGCATTGGCCAGACCTCCTGCTGACCTGGAATCAGAGGAGGCATGCCCGCTGCTCTCCCAGACACGTTTTGGGGAGGTCACTCCATGGGGTGTCGACTCTAGGCCCAACAAGGGCAGAACTGGCTGGGAGAATTGGTTATTTGAAATGTTGTACTGTTTCCCTGCGAGGCTCCAACAGGCCATTTACAGGGCACTTTTTTGTGGCTTGCTACGTTGCCGAAATCATCGTACACAACAGCTGGGTAATAAGACTAGCATAGCTCAAACTATCCTGCCAAATGCTATCATCTGACTTTTCTTCCCCTCTCCCACCCTCCCTTCACCTCAAGTCACCTGTAAATTCATTTGTCATCTGAAGTGGATAACAAATTGTCCCCAGCAACACCGCTGAGCGCTTTATAATTTTGTGGTGTATTTTTGTCAGTAGGTAGCAGAGGCTGAAGTATTTTTTGGTGTAATTCTTGAACTTTTCTGACAGGAAACAAATAAAGATAGATGTGTCTGAGAGTCTTGACCTTCCTTTTCAACTTTATTTTCTGCTCAGTGAGCCCCTTGGGGAATAGGCTGGGGGCAGGGGTCCCTGAGGACAAGGTGGACTCTGGGGGCAGGGTGTCCTGTTAGGCTGGGCCTGGAATCCAGATATGGGGGGACCTCCATCCTCAGACATCAGGGTGTGAAATGATGCTGTGGTCAGAAGCAACGACTGAGAGATGCTTCTGGCTACTTGTCTCCCAGCTAACACCCTCCACCCTGTAAGCATCTGCTGAGCACCTACTGAGGGCCAGGGCTGTGCTGGGCGCAGGGCAGTCAGCGATGCATGATGCCCCTTCACTGCCCTGAGGTCTGGCATGGAGTCAGGTGTGGACACAGATGTTGGCAAAAACAGAGTCCAAGGGCACCACTGGCACAGTACAACAGGTTTGTTAGCCAACAGCTTGAGGAGGGTGGTGAGCAATGTGTGGTCCCTTTTTCCGTAAAGGGCCCTAATGTGACACATGAAGACTGAAGCTCAGAGGGAAGAAGAGGACTAGAGCAGATGAACCAGGATTCAAGCCCAGTGTGTTCAAACCCTTTACCCACTAAATTCCTCTGTCAGACCTGAAGCCTCACTGTCAAGGGTCTGGTTTATCCCTGTCAAGCCACAGTTATTCTGAAAACAAGCTAGCTTATCCCCAGCTGAACTCAGTATCAACGGTTAATGTTAAGGATAGCAATCACTTAAATGCTCCTTGCTGTGTGCCATGTACACATGCAGTGCTGTGAGGTAGGTACCCCCAACACTAACCTTACGGGGATCATGTCGGCATTGTCACCCCCACTTCAAGATGAAGAAATGGAGGCACGGAGCAAGGTCATGCAGTCAGGAAGGGGGTGAGCGAGGATTCCAGCCCCCACGTTTTGGTGCCAGTGTCTTAACCACAGTGCCATTCAGTGGTAGAAAATCACCTCTGCACGTTGCTTGGTAGTTTATAGTTTGTGTTCATAGCTCTTCCTAAACTTAGATGGCAGGCCCACTGCCAGGGAGACCAGGGTTGACTTTGGGCAGAGCTGGGGCTCCTCCAAGCTCATTACTGCTTTTGGGGCTGTGACTGAACACTCAGGCTGGTGGGCGGGATGAGTAAGACAGCACAGGCTGCCAAACCCAGGCCCCAAACAGCCCTCCCTGCACCCACGAAGCCTGGGTTCCAGACTGCCTGCAGGCACGGCAAGCTGGAGAGGCCAGGCAGGGCCTGGGGCTGCATTCCCGCTCGCTCGCAGAAGCAGGCTGATCCACACGCCAACCTGTAAACACCCACTCTTTTTTCAATTACACAAAGTCAACTGAAGGCTGAATGAACACATGTTCAAACATTCTGTCATAAATGGACTTGCCCCTCCAGTGCCTCAGAAAATAAACTGAAGCTGTCTTTCCTCTGGAGGGAACAGGCTATGGGTGTGTGACTGGAAAGAAGGGAGAAGGAAGGAATAGGAGATGCAGCAGACATTCCTGGTTTTAGGAAGGACCCCGGGGCCATGTGCTATTCCTGGTGGAGTCACCACTTCTCATGAGAAGAAAGGAGGCCACCTAGCTCCTCCCATGAATATCCCAGGAGGGGAGATTGGTGTTTGAAGAATTCAACCCCAGGGGGTTTCGTCCGGGAAAGGCTCTGGCTTTTGGAGGGTGGGGTTTCATAGAGCACTGCTGGCTGACAGAGGGTCCAGGGAAGACAGGAGCAATGATAAAAACTTTGGTTCTTAGAACAAGCTCTGCTTGTGGCTTTTGCCCACTTTTAAGTACAGTAAATAACACCGGGACCCCCTCTCCTGAGAGGCTCACAGTTGACAGGGAGATAAGACAGGATAAAGGAAGTTCTGCGGAGGGAGGGTGGGTGGGTGTGCCTGTCAGCCAGGGGTCTTTGGAGGAACCAGCCTTAGAGGATGGGTTGCATTTTGAGGGGAAGAAGAATTCAGGAGGGTGGAGAGGAGACATCACAGAGCCATCTCCCATCTAATGGGGAAAACAACAGAAAGGGTGGAGAAGAGATGGCCCGGGCTGCTCCACACAAACGCCCCGGGAATGTGTGGGGGCCAGTGCTGGACGCAAAGGTTAAACCAGCTCAGGAAGCCGCTGCTGCTTCCCTGCGGCTCAGAGGAGGAGGGTGATGGATGGAAAGACAATTGTTGAGCCTTGGGGAGAGGCAGTGATGGCGTCCGGGGTAATCCTAACAGTCACTCAGGCTGGAAGGTATTTGGGAAGGCATGCATTTTTCTGGAAAATCAAAAGACTACCTATCAGAATCGGTGTTGATCAATGTATCCTTCCCAAATGGGCTCTAATCTGACTGGGGAGTCATGTGGGCTGAAGAATAAGAAATGAATCCCTGAGAATTTTCCCAAGAACACACCACCATCTCTTTAGAAGAACAGTTCAGGGAGAAAGGCTGGTTGCTATGGCAACACCAATGCTGTTCCCCATAGATCAGACTCAGTCTGCACAGCAGGGTGTTTATCTGACTCTGCCCTTTGGTCAGAAATGATCTGTTCCTGAGAACTCAGAACTGGAGTTCATCAATCAAAGTTACGCTCAAAGATGGGCACCCTTCTCCCCAAACTCTGCCTCTCTCAATCTCCTCTCTCTCCATCTGTCCTTGTCTTCCTCTGTTTTTTCCTCTTTGTCTCCAGCAGGAATGGTATCCAGAGACTGGGGAGTGACTTGATGTAATTTCATTTCAATGTGAGAAACCCGGTGAGCGCTGAGCTGGCTGTGAGGTGGGCACATGGCAAAGGGCAAGACAGAGGCCCTGGAAGGAGCATGGCTTCCAGGTTCTGCTGCTCTGGGTCTGTGGCCTGGTCCAGCTCCCTTTCTCCCTCTAAGTTTCAGCCTCCCCATCTTTAAAATGGGGATAATAATTGTACCTACCTTGCTTTGCATTAATTCAATGTAATTTAAAGTTTACCTGTCGTAGTCATTCTATCCTGAATGTCTCTCACTCAGCCTGTTTCCTCATTTGCAAATTGGAATTACTTATAAGTAACCCCCGCTCCCCAACCCCAGTAGGATTTCTGTGGCTTAAAATAAGGCAGCTGTGTGAAGTGCCCGTGACACAGAAATAGGTCACATCCCACCTGCTCTTGGGAAGAGCCCGGGCACTGCCTCTTTCCTTCCAGATCTCCCTTACATCACCACCACAGATGCCCTGACACAAAGCCACACATGCACCATTTTCCCCAGGTCTACTAGTGACTTTCAATTGCTAAATCTTGTTGCACAATGTATCATTTTTAATGATAACATCGATTTGAAGTATTGCTTTGAGGTCTCTGCCACATTTCCCAAAACAATTTTGATCAAACTCTTTATATGCATTAAAAAAAGGAAACTGAACTACAGACTTTATACAGAGTTCATCAGTTTCCCACTAAAACACTTTTTCTGTTCCACGATCTATGCCAGGATCCGTACTGCATTTAGCTGTCTCCTTGGTCTCCTCTGATTAGCGACAGGGCCTCAGCCTTACCTTCTCTTTCATGACCTTGATGCTTTGGAAGAGTGCAGGTCAGGTGCATTGTGGACTGTCCATCAGTTTGGGGTGGTCTGGTGTTTTCCCATGGTAACATTGAGGGCAGGGATGTGGGGATGAATTGCATGGAGTTGATGTGGCGTTCTCAGAGCATCATGGCCGCGGGTGCATGATATTGATCTGTCTTATTCCTGGTGATGTAAACCTTGAATCTCAGTGTAGGTTGTGTTTGCCAGGTTTCTCCATGGTAACATGTTCCTGTGTTTTGCTCTGAATTAGTAAAAGTCAGGGAGAAGCTACTTTGAGGAGGTACAAATATCCTGTGTCTCCTTAAACTTTTGCACACTAATTTTAGCATTCATCAGTGGATCTTGCCTATAACAGTTTTCACTCTGGTGTCCTAATAGCAATTTTCTATTTCCCCCATTTTCTTCTACATTTATAATTGGAATTCCTCTGTAAGGAAAAGTTGTCCCTTACCCCCCTTTATTTGCTTACTCAATCACTTATTTATATTAGTATGGACTCATGGATATTTATTTCTTCTTCGGGTTAAAATCAAATATCGTCATTATTTATTTTGCTCAAATTGTTCAGCTTTTGTCATTGGGTTCATTTTTATGAAAGCTCCTGTGTTCTTTTGACACATTCCACCTTTTTTTGTTTTTGGCACTTCCATATATTTCTTGGCACCACAAGATGCTCTAGGCTCATCCTGTGTTTTCCCTGTACCATTTCTGGAATCAACTCCAACTCCAAGGAGCCCTGGTTCCTTTTATTGAGGAATGATATTTAGGAACTAAGATATGGGTGTCAGGTGTACCTACTGCTACAGGACTGTCACTGCTTCGGGCTTTCTCAGTGGGCAGAGTTAGGAAATTATGGATGTATACTAACCATGCATATATACACACCTCTCTCTTTTTCTCTCTCATCTATCTGTCTATCATTTGCTTATCAAAATCAAAGAAGCATGAGTTTATTTTGGTTCATTCTAGAATTCCCTCTTTGCTTGCTTGAAACTTCTATGTGACAGTAGAAAATACGACTAATACCTACCATATATTTACTTACTCATTCATCATTTCAGATACATACATTTTTTTGACATTTAAAATTTCTTACATTGTTAGGGACACTTTGGAGTCATTAACTTTGTGTGTTAGAGTATGTCACTTCCCTTTGTGTTTAATTGTAAAGACTCATAGAATGGAGGGAGCCATGTGGGCTCTGAAGGCTAGCATTTTTGGAGGGGTTGATGCATTGTGTTATATTTAAGCTATTTCCCAAGGCCTTACAACTGAGAGTTATGGTGGGTTCTTACTAACAATTATGTCTTTGTGTCAGACACCTGCCCTCATACACTCATGGAGAATTCTAGCCCCTTGTAAAGGCTTCACTCTCCAGCCCAGGTGGACTCTCACATGTGCCCAAGAAGAGGTGTGAGCCTGCTGGGATGTGCTGCTCCAGCGAGCTCCACAGATGCCTCCAATGTTCTCAGACTCG